AGAAGGGGCTGATTATAAGGGAACTCACATGCTAAGTTAAGGAATTTGGGCTTCATAAAAAACAATGAGGAGCCATTATGCTATATACTATTTTAAACAGGGAAGTAAGCAATTCATTTGGGTAGCAACACAGAAAGATAGAGAAAGGGCAGGGCCACAAATGTCAGAGAGAACCAATGGGGAGGTTCTCACAATAATCCAAGCCATCATTAAGACACCAAACTAAGCTAAACTTAGAAACCAAAAACAGAGAGGAAAGACAGACACTAGAAAAATGCAGGGGCAGGATTAATAGAAAGGATAACTACATGGATATGTAGGAGTAAAAAAAGGGAGAAGAGTGCAGGATACGTATAAACCAGGCATCAAAATGAATATATGAGTTCAGTCTTGAACTCTTGGGTTTGTGGTATACTTGTGCAATATGTAGGCAGAAATATCAAGCAGATAGTCAAATATAAGTTTCTTATGCACCCAAGGACATTACATAAAACAAACGCTAAGAGCACTGAAAAGGGAAATAGACAGTTCTACAATAATACTAGGAGTTAACACACTGTTTTTGATGAAGGACAAAACAACTAGAGAGAAATTCAACAAAGATACAGGAGACCTAAATAACACAATTAACCAGCTTGGCTTTATAGACATGTATAGAGTACTCCACCCAACAGCAACTGAGTATAGATTCTTCTCCAACACACATGGGTCATTCTCCAGAATGGACCATATTTTAGGACACAAAGCAAGCCTCAATAAATTCAAAAATATCAAAATAATGCAAAGCATCTTCTGCAATTGTGTGGTAGTTAAAGTTGTGTGTCACCTTGGCTGGGTCGTGGTTTTGAGTAACATGGTAGCTGGATATAGTTATTCCAAATATAGAATTGGATATGGGTAATCAAATACATATTGGAACCTTCTGGGAGCAACTAATTAATTGCCTTTGGAGTGTGACATGCTTCCAGTATATAGGGAGAAGCTTCAGAAAAGGTCTCTAGCTTTTTGACACATTTGGTTCCAGTATTTGATTGAGTCTTCATAAGCAGTGGACTGCGGGGTTGTCTGCCGATCTTGTGATTGTTCCTGAACTTGAGCCAGTGGCCTGCTGTGTTGCCTGCTGATCTTGAGATTCTGTCATTTTATCTGCCAATCTTGGGTTCATCAGGTTCAACAGCCATTAGCTGCATGAGTCAGTAGCTCCTTCTTTAGCAATCCTTCTTTAGCAATAATAAGTAACAATTTGTGAGTAGATACATAGGTAAATACATACACTAAATAGGTGAGGGAGGTCATATGAGAGTACACTTGTGTATATATATATATATATACATATATATATATATTGCTGTTGTTATGTGCTGTCAAGTCAGATGCAACTCATAGTGACCCCTCCTTGGGTTTCCAAGGCAGTATCACTATGGAAGTAGATTGCCCAGTCTTCCTTCCAGAGAGTGGCTGGTGGGTCTGAACCGCCAACCTTCTGGTTAGCAGTCAAATGCCTTAGGCACCATGCCACTAGAGCTCCCCTCTAGGGCCCTAGTGACATGAAAAGATGCTACAGAGCTGATCACCTTATTGCATATTAAGGATTAAAAGAACAACCACAGATGCTGGCAGGAAATCTAGTTCCCTCTCCTCTCAGGATATGCTGTATTTGTTGCCACATGCACCAATGGTGACCAATCAGATTGAGATTCAATGACCACTCAAGTGAGCCTTCCTTGGAGAGTGAAAACTGGTGGGCAGGGTGTATCAAGATATGAGCTACACAGAGGCCAAGCTAGAGGCTCTGAGGATGGCAGTAGGCTGCTCAGATTCTACTTGGCTCAGAGTTCATGGGCAGTAGCTATTTGCCAGGGAAGACGATGATGTTTTGCAGGCTGCTGTCCATGTGTGTGCTAATTGTGCATTTTAAAGAATAACTGCTCCATAATCACAGCCATTATCACTTTCCTTGGCCATTTTCACGCTGACAATGTGAAATGTGCCACTTTTAGATGCCTTAATGTCCATGTTTCTTTTATCTGACAATAGCTCCTAAATAGGCTTTCATTTAGTAAGAAAAGGTGTGGCTCTCTTTCCCCCAGGGAAGGCTACGTCATGGCCAGTCAGCCAGAGAAGTCAAGTCTGTGGAAGGGCCAGGGTGGTTTGTTCCTTCTCTCATAAAGTAGTGCAGATTAGTGCTCCCCAAACTTTTACATGAATAAGAATCTTCTGGCGACCATGTTAAAATGCAGATTCTGAATTTAGAGACTGCTAACCAAGGAGGGGTCACTATGAGTTGAGTTTGACTTGACAGCACATAACAACAACAACAACCAGAAAGTTGCCAGTTCAAAACCACCAGCCTCTCTGCAAGAGGAAGATGAAAACCCAATAGGTTTGAGTTGGAATTGACTCGGTGACAGTGGATTTGGGTTTGGCTTTGGTGTGAAGCCCCTAAGTCTATATTTCCAACAAACTCCCAGATGATGCCCATGCTGACAGTCCAAGTAGTACATCTGAATAACAAAGGGCTACATACCAACTAGATACAAATGGCTAAGTACTTGAGTTCTAAGTGAAAGGCTGATGATTTGAACCTACCCAGAGATGCCTCATAAGACAGTCCTGGCAATCTCCTTCTGAAAGGTCACAGCCTTGAAAACCCAACAGAGCAGTTCATCCCTGCACACTTGGGGTCGCCATGAGTACGAAATGACTAAAGAGCAATGAACAACATCAACATATCAACTAGAGTCCTTGAGTGGTGCAAACAGTTAAGTGCTTAGCTGCTAATTGAAAGATTGGTGGTTCGAGTCCATCCAGAGGCACCTTGGAAGAAAGCCTGGAAATCTATTTCTAAAAAATCAGCCATTGAAAATCCTGTGGAGCACAGTTCTCTTCTGACACACGTCAGGTTGCCATGAGTTTGCATCGACTCAGCAGCAATGGGCTTAATGTATTGACTCTCTCATCTCATCTCTCATTTGCAGGCATATTTGTACTAAGAATCATTATAATCATCATATTAGAGAAGCCAATCCAATCAAGATTTCTGCATTTACTGTCTAACGTTATGGCATAACTTGTAAAGGAAAAAAAATCTACTATTACTCAATGTTAATGACAGCATTTTCAGCCACTAACTGAATAGTATACATTGTTTGATCCATGAAAAAAAAAAAAAAAAAGAGCTATAAACGACCCACAAACAAGCCAGTTACAGGTATTAAATGACAACTAAGAAACGACTTTTAGGATAAGAAGTTGCACTTCAATAATTCCTCAGGGTATGCAAGCCTCTGAATTCAGTCCCTAGTGATGATTCGATGACTGTCTTTGTTCCATCTGTAATTTTCTGAATTACAGAAAAGCTTCGCTCTGCACCTCTTCTACAATCACACACCTTCTGCTGAAGGGGGAAATAGCAGGGAAAAAGACTTAGTCAAAGAAAAGAAGAGAGGAGAATAGAATAGCAGAAAAAAAGAGGAGAAAACGAATGACCAAAATTAAAATTTAAAAAAAAAAAATTACTGTAATGAAAGCTTTTCAACTAAAGGTTTAATAGCTAATCAGCTGAAAATAGGTTACTGAATTATACTTTAGTAAACAAAGCTCCTATGCTCTTTTTCTAACCTCTAGCATTTTATTACAGATTATCATTCCCAGTTCCTCATGTCCAAGCCCTGTCTCTCTGCACACTAGAGCCTACATCTCTACAGCAACAGAGATGCTCCTGGCCTTGGGAGAAGAGACAGTGGCACTTTCAGACTCATTTAACAGGGAAAACTCAGAGAGGGGTGGGGGCCTGTCCCAAGTCACACAGAATACAGAGGACATTCTCCAAGTAAGACTTAGTCTACTCTGCTAACCAGCTAGAGAGCTCCTCAGGGGAGAGGAAGACTCATATGCCCTTGTTCATTTCATAAGCCATTAGCTTTGACCTTCATTAACTCTAGCAGGTAAAAACATCTGTTGCTTGGTAACCAAGTTTGTATTTTGACCAGAGCTGAATCTTTAAAAGAAGAAAGGATGGAAAAGAGAAGAATGGTGGGGGGGGGGGGGGAAGAAGGGAAACTGGAGGAACAGAACGTGTGCTTCCTTGACTTATAGCTGCAGTAGGTAGGAGGCATGACAGTCAGCATTATGAGTCAACCCCATGGCCTCAGACCTCAAATACCGAAAACCTACCACCACTTAGGACTTTGTGGAAAATGGGAGTAGGAGTGGGGACAGAACAACATTACATTCTTTTTTCTTCTCTGTCAGATGAGCATTTTTAAAACATTTTTTTCCCAAGCCCCAGAAAGAGCACAAAACTAAAAACATCTTAGAGGTTTAGAATAGAGATGTCACGAATGCTGACATGCAAGTGCACGTTCTCTCCTTTATCAGTGAAGGGAGCAGATTTGCCTACACTCATCCTGGAATGCTGGGATATAAATAAGGCCGTGCATCACTGATTGCTGTCATCACTCGTGGCTTTGCCTCCCGGCCAAAACAATTACTACTTTGATCACTAACGTAAGAGATAAGGCAAGAGTGACTAAGTGCCTCAGCTTGGACCAGTTGGCCTAGGTTCAAGTCCTAGCCCTTTTGTTTACTGGCTGGGTAGTTCTGGAGTAATTACCTACCCTTCCTGTGTCCATTTCCTCACTTATGAAATTGAGTAACAATAACATATACATTCCCCAGGGTTATTGTGAGGGTGGAGTCCCCAGTGGGTACAAATGGTTAACGTTCTAGGCTGCTAACCAAATGGTTGGAGGTTTGAGTCTCGCCAGAGGCATGAAAAAAAGGCCTGGAATCTACTTCAGAAACTCTATGGTGAACAGTTCTACCCTGACACACATGGGGACACCATGAGTTGGAATTGACTCAACCACAACTTGTTTTTGTTTTCAATTTTATTGTGAGGGTTAGATGAGTTAGTATGTGGAGAGTGCCTATAGGAGAAGCTGGTACATAGTAAGCATTCAGTAGATGGTAGCTGATCATCCTCTCTATCATCTTACCTTCTCTCTCTGAATTGCCTTCATTTTTTGGATTTCAGCTTCCTCTGCTTCCTTCTTGATTCTTACAGATTCTTCTCTTTTTAGCTAAATTGCATTGAGATTACAGAGGACAAAACCCAGTTACCATTTTTCAGTCTGAACCTCTGGAACACAAAATTATGATGAAAGACAAATTACAGGATTGTTTGTGCTATACCTTACCATGATTATAGGTTGTTACTTCAAGCCATTTAGATCACAAAGAATAGCCAGGCTATACACATCTCCTGTCCATGAAATTCCTCTCTTTTCTTCCTGGGTCAGAGTGCCTGTCTGTCTGTCTGTCTTCCTCTCTCTTTCTCCCTCTCTCTCTTTCTCCCTTCTCTCTTTGCCTCTTTCTCAGTTGAGAGAGAGTCGGGTGGATAATTTTTCCTGATTATAAAACTCATAGCGTTCACTGTAAAAATCTCAAACCATTTTCTAATGATGTTCTTAACTGACATGGGGTAAACAAATCCATACCCTTGGAATCAAAACATTCAAAACACAGTAGAGAGTTAATTTAAACTAGAGGGGAAAAATGCATCCCCTTAATCAAGGGTCCTACTGACTGACACATGGCTTCAATGAGAATTCTAGGTGGTTATTTTTTTGCTTCTTCCTTCCTGATTTCCTTATGTTGAGAGTTTCTTTTTGCAATTGGTTTAAATGTTTTAAGCATTTGGTAAAGTAACAATACAGTTACTTTAATACAATTTTACAGTTACTCAAAAGTGCTGGTACTCAAATTCCTTGCCAAAATTAAACTCAAAAGAGATGGATTCTGACCTTTTTCTGGTATTTAGATTGCATCAGTTGGTGTTGTTGTTTCTGCCTGACTTCAGCTTCTGATTGGCTTCCACCTAGAGGGGAAAAGGCAGGAAGGTGAAACATGAATATTAAGCTGAAATGTCAGCCATCAGAGACTAATTAATACATGATCAGTCTACAGCGTGAGTTTCTTGAACATTTTTATGCCCCGGGAAATAAAAACATAACCAGTTTTCTTAATAAGCTTTAAAAAAATGTGATAACTTAAAAGAGAAAGAGTTGATGGCTAGATGAAGCCAAGTTCATAATCAAAGAGGATACTTCTACTAAGGTTTTTAAATCATGTAAGTATTAGTATTCATTTACATTGAAACCATACTTAAAGGGCCACAGTAAACCATAAGAAACTGTACCTGTCTCCCAAATTCTAGAACATTCCTCCTGATTGAGTATGACCATTCTTTCATTTAATAAAGAAAATGATCAATGATCCTTAAATTGCCTTTCTTCTTGAACCCTACTGACCTATGTTTAAGTAGCAAAACTCAGGATACCTTCAGGAGTTTGAAAAAGTTTGTAGTGTTTATAACCTAGTGTTTGAAAAGCACAATGAAAATTGTCTAGTTAGTGATTCACTATAAATCCCTTTCTTTAGATATTCAAGAGAAAAAATATGGATGTTAAATTATTTGCTTTTTCTCTCTGGAACCTAAAGTAATTAGGGCCCAGAAATCCTCACAGTCTTACAGTCATCTAAGAATTACTGTTTAGGAATTTTTTTCAGTGTCTTTGCAAGTTTGGTGTACATATATTTTGAACATGAACAGATACTTCACGAAAGAAGACACTGAGGAACTAACAAACACCTGAAGAAATGCACATGATCATTGTTGTTGTTGTTGTTGTTATGTGTCCTTGAGTCAGATCCGACTCATAGTGACCCCTCCTTGGGTTTCTGAGGTGATATCACTAGGGAAGTAGATTGCCCCATCTTCCTTCCGAGGAGTGGCTGGTGGGTTTGAACCACCAGCCTTCTGGTTAGCAGTCAAGTGCCTTAGCCACTGTGCTACCAGAGCTCCCACATGATCATTAGCCATCAAAAAAAAAAAAAAAAAAAATGAAATTCACTGTCATCCAGTCAATTCAGACTCACAGCAAACTCCATTGGGTTTCCAAGGCAGTGAATCTTTAGAAAGTAGATTGTCCCATCTTCCTTCCATGGAGTGCTGGAGAGTTTGAACCACCACCTTCTGGTTAGCAGTCAAATGCCTTAGTCAGTGCACCACCAGAGCTCCTTCATTAGTAATTAACCAAGAGAAACCAAACTCACCACCATCAAGTCAGATTCGACTCACAGCAAGCCCTCCTTGGGTTTCTGAGGCAGCATCACTACAGAAGTACATTGCCCAATCTTCCTTCCAAGGAGAGGCTGGTGGGTTTGAACCACCAGCCTTCTGGTTAGCAGACAAATGCCTTAGGCACTATGCCACCAGAGCTCCCTCATTAGCCATAAAACAGATGCAATTAAAAACAACAGTGAAATACCATCTCATCCTAGCATTAATAGCAAAGTTAAAAAAAAAGAAAGGAGAGAAAACAACAAATGCTGTCTAGGATGTGGAAAGACTGGAACCCTCATATGCTGTTGGTTAGACTGTAAAATGGTACAACACTGAGGAAAATGGTATGGTCCTTGCTTAAAAAGATGGAAACAGAAATACCATATGATCCAGCAATCCCACTACTAAGTATATATCCTAGAAAAACAAGAGCCATGACACAAAGATATATGCACAACAATGCTCATCATGATAAATGGAGAAAAGATTGAAGTTGTCAAAGAGTTCATGTTACCTGGATCCACAAACAACACCCATGGAAACAGCAGTCAAGAAATCAGATGTTGTATTGCACTGGGTAAATCTGCTGCAAAAGACCTCTTTCAAGTGCTAAAGAGCAAAGATGTCTCTTTGAAGACTAAGGTGTGCCTGATCCAAGCCACAATGGCAAAGAACAACAACAATCCAAGCCATGGTATTTTCAATAGCCTCATATGCATGTGAAAGCTGGATAATGAATAAGGCAGACTGAAGAAGAGTTGATGTTTTTGAGTTGTGGTGTTGGTAAAGAACACTGAAAGTAAAATGGACTGCAGGAAGAATGAAAAATTGTCCTGGAAGAAGTACAGCCAAAATGATCCTTGGAAGCAAGAATGGCCAGACTTCTTCATCTCATTTACTTTGCTTCTGTTGTTGGAAGGGACCATTTCCTAGAAAAGGTAAGTTGGAGGGTCAGTGAAAAAAGGGGAAGACCCTTAATGAGATGAATTGTCATGGTGACTGTAACAACAGGCTCAGGTATAACAAGGATTGTGAGGATGGTGCACAACCAGGCAGTGTTTTGTTCTGTTGTACATAGGGTCACTATGAGTCAAAGCTGACTCGAAGGCACCTAAGAACATGTTCATCACAGCACTATTCACAATACCAAAAAGCTCATCAACAAAGAGATGGATCAACAAACTATGGTACATACACACAATGGAATGCTACACAATGTTAAAAAATAATGATGAATCTGCAAAACATCTCATAACATGGATGAATCTAGAAGACATTTTGCTGAGTGAAATTCTTAATTACAAAAGGACAAATATTGTATGAAACCACTATTGTAAAAAGTCAAGAAAAGAGTTTCACAAAAAAAAGAAGTATTCTTTGATGGTTACCAAGTGCAGAAGGGAAGGGAGGGTAAACCACTAACTAGAGGGTAAACACATATAAAAATAATAATTAAAAAAATAAAGATTTCTTTGAAATAATTATCTGGTCACTACAAGTATCAGTTCTCTAGAAGATTCACTCACACACAGAAGATTCATTAACATAATTTGCATTCACTGTAACTTTTATAAGGAGCTCTCGTGATGCTGTGGTTAAGGCAGTTGGCTGCTAACCAAAAAGTCCTTGGTTTGAATCCACCAGCTGCTCCACAGATGAGGCAACCTGCTTCTGTCCTTGGAAAGCCTATGGGGTACTCTGAGTTGGAATCAACTCGATGGCAGTGGGTCTGGTTTTTAGTTTTTGGTACCTTTTATAATTGAACTGGTAAAGATACCCACAGGGACTTTCCTCCAATTTCTAAAACATATATGAGGCCCTACAGTTTTGGGTTTTGGTCTCCAAATCTCTATTGCAGGGAGGTGGGGGAATGGGAGAGAAGCAGTGAGGATTATGGAGCTTTTATCAAATGTTAAAGTAGCTTTCAGTATCTCCAAGACCTGTAAAGGATGGAGGAGTAGGGAGGAGTTGGTATTAGAGGAAATGGGGAAAACCAGATTTCTAAGCATTTGCAGGTTTTGTTGAAACTCACCTCAAAATTTAAAACCTAGAATTTTCTTTCTTCTCTTACACACATCCTTGACCATTCCTAGATACTTCATAAAGCAGGAAGTTGCAATAAGATTCCTGTCTCATTTTTGACTGAGGTCCCAAAACAATAGATGCCAACAACCAACATCCCAAAATGAAGTGCTTGATACCCTAAACAATATCTGCAAAGAAGGTAACTGAAATCTAGTTTAGGGAACTTAACTAAGAAGCCCTTCACAAGGGGTTTGATAGGTCAAAAGCTTCCTGCCATAGAATCAACTCCAACTAATGGAGATCCTATATGTGTCAGATTATAACTATGCTCCATAGGGTTTTAAAAACAGCTGATTTTTAGGAAGTAGATTGTCAAGTTTTTCTTCCAGGATACCTCTAGTTGGACTTGAACCTTCAATCTTTTGGTTAGCAGCTGAGAGCATTAGCCATTTGTACCTCCCAGAGATTCTGGATAGCTCAAAAACCGAAAAAAACAAACCCACCGTCACCAAGTTGATTCCAACTCATAGCAACCCTATAGAGCAGAGTAGAATTGCCCCATGGGGCTTCCAAGGCTCAAATCTTTACAGAAGCAGACTGCATCATCTTTTTCCCATGGAATAGCTGGTGGATTCGAACTGGTGACTTTTTTGCTTAGCATCCACTTGCCTTAACCATGTGCTACTAGAATGCCTTGGATTGCTCAAAGGGAAGTAGAAATATGAGGATGTCTTTGTGAAGTCTATCCTTGTGTATGTATATGTGTGTGTGGAGAAGGGCGAACCTTTACTTCAAGATGAGCAAGAAAGGTTTAATGAAAATTACTTGAAGAGCTCAACCTGTGTCCCTAGGAGAATAAGGGACTCAGTGGACCATGCCTGGACAAGTCAAAACATAAAAGCACAAGACTCTGGCCAGTTGGCTACACAGATGGGTGATCAGGAGGGGGTGCCACCATGCAGATGGCCTATCCTTCCAGAGTTTTTAAGAACAACACATGCATGAGTGAGTATTTCTTACAGTCTAGGGTAAGACACATGGAAGAGAATGACAATCTAAAGCCATCTTAAAGGGACTTGCTCATGAGAAGAACATAGGCTCATGTTCCACCTAAAGGAACAAAGGGGCCCTATAAAGACAATCTACCAAGAATAAATGGCAGCAGGACAAGTTAATCATCTTTCTAATCCCAGTGTCCTGTTTAAAAAATAGATAGAACTAATAACCATAAGGCTGGTATTTGCTGGTAACAGTTTAAATGATGCAGTATATGTAAAGTGCTTGATAATCTATCTAATATGCACTCAGTAAATAAGAGTATAGTTATTATTAAAACATAAGCTCCATGAAGGAGTCCCTAGGTGGTATAAATGGTTAATGTGTTGGGCTGATAATCAACAGATTGGAGTTCAAGTCCACCAAGAGGTGCTTTAGAAGAAAGGCCTGGTGATCACCTTCTGAAAAAATGGTTATTGAAAACCCTGTGCAGCACAGTTCTACTCTGACACACGTGGGGTCTCCATGAGTCAGGGTCCACTTGACAGCAACTGGTTTTAAGCTCCATGAGTGCAAGAACTTTATTTTGTTGAAAGTATTCAGTAAGTATTTGTTGACTAAAAATTAAAAGGTTTTGAAAGAAAAGAAAAAGAGTTGCCAATAGAAAAAGGATATCATCGGCTCTATCAGAGAAAACTCATAGAACCCCGAGAAAGAGTGAGCAGTAAGCATACTCCAAGGCTATAAGAACCAGGACCAGTGAGTGCACTGCCGACCCTTGCCTCTCCTACCTCCCCTTCCCCTTTCAACTCTGTGGGCAGAGGAGTCAATAGAGAAAAATCCAGCATGCCTCTCTCTCTTGTTAGCTTCCTACCTGAAATGGGCCTGAGATGGAGCAAGAGAGAAGTGTTACTATTCCATTAGTAACAGAGCTGTAACAAGTACCTCTGGTACTGTAGTGCCTAAGGCACTTGACTGCTAACCAGAAGGGTGACAGTTCAAACCCACCAGCCACTCCTCGGATGGAAGCCTGGGCAATCTACTTTTGTAGAGATGTTGTTGTTGTTATGTGCTGAGTCGGACCCAACTCATAGCAACCCCTCCTTGGGTTTCCGAGGCAGTATCACTATGGAAGTAGATTGCCCCATCTTCCTTCCGAGGAGTGGCTGGTGGGTTTGAATCGCCAGCCTTCTGGTTAGCAGTCAAGTGCCTTAGGCACTATGCTACCAGAGCTCCTTCCATAGAGATACTACCTTGGAAACCCAAGGAGGGGTCTCTATGAGTTGGTATTAACTTGAGAGCAGTAAGTTTTGTTTTGTTTTAACCAATATCTAAGAGTAAACATTAATTACTGAAATGAGATGGTTTCATGCCTAGCATTCACTGGACCATGTTACTATTTGAGGGGAAAAAAAACAAAAGATCAGGGGGATCTGCTCTAATTTCATCCAAAGAGCAGGGAGAAAACTAGTCCCATATAGGAAGCTTGAGGAGACCAGTTAGGAAAGAACAAATCTGTTTCCCTATTGTGTAGCTGATTTGGCATATTCAGGTTAACCCCTTTTGTGAGATGCAGTGGGATGACTGTGATAACACTATTACTTTCACTCATTAAATGATTTCCTAATGAGTTTAATTTAACATTACATTCGGGGGAGATGGGGAAAACGCTTCTATGAAACTATCAAGATAGTAGGTGGTCCTTGACTCTAGACCCGTTTGTGTTAACTAAATCTGTGGAAACCATGAGTCCTGTCCTTGAAGCCCTCAGCTGCTGCTAGGACAGAAAAGGGAAAAGCGATGTGAATAAATCCCATTTGGTGGCATCCACTCCAAATGATCAAACACCCAGCGAAGGCAGCCAAGATCATTCATCACCCTGGCAGCAGGCGTTCCATGAGCCCAAAGGTCTCTATCTTTAGAAATGAAAACACAAGTGGCGTTTTCCTTTATACCCATCACTGGGTTTCCGCTCGCCCTCGTCTCAGTTTTGGAATTGTCTTTCCAATTCATTCTTTGTCACTTTTGTATTTTACCACCATGATTAATATGCATGTGCTCATTTTTACTCTCATCCCGGTGAGTGCTGTGACAGGGCATATGAAGCGCCCCAGGTAAGCTTTCTTCAGAGTCGAGCATCTCAGAGGATCTAAATTATTTGGCAATTAAGCCATCACTTTATTCCCAGATAACTGTGGCATCATATGCTTGCTACTTGCAGAAAATCAGAAGCAACACTATACCTGCACACTTTAAATGCACTCCATCCCCAAGTGGGGATGGAACAGCAACCCAGCAACCTATTAGGTGCATTCAAAGTCAGACATTTGAAAGGTGCTAACTGGATCCAGGGATGGCTCTGCCCTCACATGCAGGAACTGGTTTGTTTGCTTACCTAGCCGTCTTGGCATCAGGTTAATTGGTTTAGCTCTATTCTGCTCCTTCCATTTCTCCAGGTCTTCTAGCTCTTTCTTAGCAACTAGGACAGAAAAAGAATGATCAAATCCTCAATTATTAAAGTTGAAAAGGAAACTGGTCCCTTCAAAGCATAAGAAAGAAGCAACCCTTAAAGGGCAATTAACTATATGTGAGCATGTTGTTGTTGTCAGGTGATTCCAATTCTTAGCAACTCTGTAAGGACAGAGTTTCCCATAGGGTTTCCAAGGCTGTAAATCTTTACAGAAGCAAACTGCCTCATCTTTCTCCCAAGGAGTATCTGGTGATTTTGAACCATCCAACTTTTCAGTTAGCAGCTGAGAGCTTTAACCACTGTGCCAGCAGAACTCGTTGATGTTTTCTTAGATGCCATTAAGTTGATTACAACCCATAGAACCCCATGTGACAGAGCAGAATTGCCCAAAGAGTTCCCAAGGCTGCAAATCTTTACAGAGGCAGACTGCCACATCTTTCTCCTGAAGAGCAGCTTTTGGGCTCCAATCACTGACCTTTCAGTCAGCAGCTAAGTGCTTAACCCTGAGCCACCAGGGCTCCTGTTAGAAATATAGAAAAACAAATTTAGAAGCATTAACAACAAAATCATTTGAAAAGGTATAAATAAAACTACTCTGGTAGGGTAGTGCCTAAAGCACTTGACTGCTAACCAGAAGGCTGTCGGTTCAATCCCATCAGCCTCTCCTCGGAAGGAAGGTTGGGTAATCTAATTCCATAGTGATATCACCTTGGAAACCCAAGGAGGGGTCGCTGAGTCGGGTCCAACTCAACAGCACATAACAACAACAACAAAGGTAAAAAGAGAAAAAAAAAACTGCTAAGATCTGATGAGTCTATACAGATGTTCTGGTTACCTAGTGCTACTCTGACAAGAATATACCACAAATGGGATGGCTTGAACAAACAGGAGTTTATTCTCTTACAATTTGGAGGCTTTAAGTCCAAGTTCAAAGTGCCAGGCTCTAGGGGCTGGGTGAAAGACCCTCAACCTTGGGCTTCAGCTCTGCCTCCTGCTCCCAGCCCACTGAAGCTAGAGGCTTTTCTTCACTCAGATAGCTGCTGGCTGCTGAGACTAAGAAGCCCAAGGTTGACAAGTAAAGAGGCATAGTCCCAATGTTACCAAACCGCATGGCAGGTCATTATTCAAGTCCATTGAAAGTCCCAAGGTCAGCAGAGAATAGCAGGCTACTGAACAACAACAGGGCTCCATGCAGGATTCAAGCGTGCCATAAGCTAGAGACCATTCCCAAGGTTTCTCCTTATATACAGAAAGCAGACCACATACCCAAAGCAGCTACTCAACTGCTCCAATAGATTCATCACTGAATTAATGGGGAATAACTACATTCAGTTTGTCCAGCCACTCAACCAGGCCCAGCAAAGTTGACACACAAACTTAACCATCACAACAAATAAGCAAAAAAAATATTCCAAACAACAACAACAACAAAAAAAAAAAAATTGTACTCCATAAGAAGGTGAGAACCATTCTAAATGTTAAATACGTACTCCTTTGTATCTGGCTTCTGCGGCTCTCATTTGGTGCTATCAGGGTATATGTGTCCGTGCTAGAAAAAGAGAAAAAAAAGGGTTATTATTATGAGAAAGTACTAATTTATAGAGCCTATCCAGACTATTTGACTGGTTTTGATTCTGACTCATGATGACCCCATGTATATGAGAGTAGAACTGTATCTCATAGGGTTTTCAGTAGCGGGTTTTTTAAAAGTGAGTCACGAGGCTTTTCTTTTGAAGTGTCTCTAGGTGGACTTGTATCTCCAACCTTTCAGTTAGCAGCTTTGTGTCAACTGTTTGAACCACCCAGGGACTCACTAATTCATGCACCCAAGCGAAACCCACTGCCATACAGCTGGTTCCAACTCATAGCACCTCCCATACTGTTTCCCAGGCTGTAAATCTTTACAGAAGTAGATCACCTCATCTTTCTACTGCAGAACAACTGGTGGGTTCAAACCACTGACCTTTTTGTTAGCAGCCCAATGCCTCTACCACAGCACCATGAGAGCTCCTTCTAATTCATATAAGCTACCAGGTATTCTTCCTTCTAATACACTTTCCTTATCATTATCACCATCAAATAGTACTACGGAAGACAAAAAGATTAAGACCCAAGCATACGTCTGTGCTCCAGGAGCCTATGATGTAGCTGTCAACGTAAAACAAATCCCAAGTATAGAAATACAAAGCAATCGATGAAGAGGACAAATGACTGTGTCATGCTGGTTCTTGGTAGACCGTCTTTGTAGGACTCCAATGATCCTTCTGATGGCCCTTGTGCACAAGTCCCTTTAAGATGGCTTTTTACTGACATTCTCATGTATGTGACCCAAATTACATCCAGAGTACAGGAAACACTCATGAATCCTTTATTCTCATAAACTCTGGGAGTGCAGGCCATCTTGCATCACAGCCACCTCCTCTTCATCACCCATCTATGTAGCCAGTTGGCCACAGTTTTGTGCCCTTAGCTAGACGGTTATCATTGAGTCAACTCCAACTCTGGCTACTCTACATACAACAGAATGAAATGTTGTCCAGTCCTCAGCCATCCTCATGACCACTGTTTGAGGCCATCATTGAAGCTATTGTGCCAATCTATCTCTCCAAAGATCTCCCTCACCCTCACTGGCTCTCTACTTCATCGAACATGATATCCTCCTCTAGTGATTGATACTGCCTGATAACGTGTCCAAAGCAAGCAAGCCAGACAATGATCTGTTGTGATCCATAAAGTTTGTATTGGCTAATTTTCAGAAGTAGATTGCCAGGCCTTTCTTCCTAGTCTGTCTTAGTCTGGAAGCTCTGCTTAAACCTATCCACCATGAATGACCCTGCTGGTATTTAATGTACTGGTAGCATAGCTTCCAGCATCATAGCAACATGCAAGTCACCACAGTACAACAAACTGTCAGATGGGTGGTGGCTTGTGCCCTTAATGTTCAACTTTTCTAGACATGAGTCCCCTGGACCCCTCATTCACCTGAGGACACCTGAGGTTGAGCATAAACAGCAGATCAAGCTAGGGGATCAGGGAGTGCTACATAAAGAAGGCTTCATGTAAGTAAAAATATTCTACACTGAGGTGCTGGGAAACTGTTAAAATATTGTGAGCTTGTGAGGGCAGGAATTGTGCCTGGTGGATCTTTGCATGACTGGCACCTGGCACAGTGCCTGGCACAAAATAGCTGCTTTGATAAATGTGGGCTGAATTGAAATGCAACTAGTCTGTTAGTCTGCACTGAGGGTGGCTCTTCTCTGAGATAATCCATGTAGTCCCACAGTAGCATGAATAGCTAGGAGAGCAAAACTACAATGCAGCAACAGAATACAGCATATATATGGGGGCAGTTTTAGGGAAATGCTGTGGATAAACACAATCAGCTTAAAAAGGTAGGGTTTTTAGAAAAATAAAGAAAACCCCAGATGCTCTTAGCAATCTCTCTCTCTCTCTTCAACGTGGAATGTACAATTTCAAAGGCCAAATTAGCAAAGATGGAACAGTAGAGGCCAGAAGTGCTGATTAACAGAAACCATTTCTTCCTTATCTCATTATTTTCCTAGCAGTGCGTCTTCAGCCAGCTTCAAACTGGGCTTTAATTTTAGACTTGTAAATGTGAGGTGTACAACCACCTTTGCATGCAAATGGGGCTGCTGAATGCCCAATTACCTAATGTATATCAGCAGACGTTGCATGTGTAGCCTACGATGCACACAAAGTTATGAATACTAAATTAGGAGGCTGCCGCTGGAAATTAATCCCTTGTCCATTACATATTCTTTGTTCACCCTAAGAAAGATTTTTCACTCCTCGTTTGCCAGCACTTCACAGGAGCTTAGGAATGGCAATTCTACAGACCTGCAAACCTGGAAATGAAGTAATGGTAAGTCATTCTGCAGAGCCTAAAAGATGAAGCACTAGATACTGAATTTAAACATCAACCGTGAAATACTGCACAATCTTCTATGTCTGTTAACATAGTACAGAGCATCTCACCATACCACGGTTCTGGCTATACTGCAGATGACTAGTTCTCAAACTTCAGAGAGCATGCATCAGAGTCACCTGGATGGCTTGTTAGAAGGCAGAGTTTCTCATTCAGTATGTCTGGAGTGGAACCTGATAACCTGCATTTTTAACAAACTTTCAGGTGATGCTAATATTCTGGATCCAGGGACCACACTTTGAGAACTATTGCTGTAGATGAATCAAGCTGTATTAGAATATTTAGGTGGAAAGAGAACAAAGAAACCAGTTGCCATTGAATTGACTGTGACTCATAGTGATTCCATATGTGCCAGGGTAAAACTGTGCTCCATAAGATTTTCAATGGCTAGTTTTTAGTGATACTGCCTCGGAAACCCAGGGAGAGGTCACTATGAGTCGGTCCGACTTGATGGTACATAACAACCACGGTTTTTCAGATCACCAGAGCATTCTTCCAAGCCTTCTCTGGGTGGACTCAAACCTTTAACTTTTTAGTTAGCAACCAAGTGTGTTAAATGTTAATTACGGCACAGAAGTTGTATCATATGCCCAAGAATACTAAGTATAGAAATTAAGCAACAGTGCTGAGACTCAAACCCAGTATTTTTGACTTAGACCAGTGAGTTGTCCATAGCTAAATTTCAACTCAATGTAGAAAGCATAAAATATGATTGGCATTTAACCTCAGCCTCTTGATAGACTTTGAAGCAATACCACTTATTTATTACTAAATAATAATAATTACTAAGCCCCTGTTGGGAGCTCTCATAGCATAGTGGCTAAGGCACTTGACAGCTAACTAGAAGGCTGGCAGTTCAAACCCACCAGCCACTCCCAGGAAGGAAGATGGGGCAATCTACTTCCGTAGTGATACTGCCTTGGAAACCCAAGAAGGGGTCGCTATGAGTCAGGTCTGACTCAACGGCACTTAACAACACAACAATAAGCCCCTGTTATAGACTGTGTTAGGTTCTATGGGGAGTAAAAGGAGATAAGAGAAACTGGACTCAGACCACTTTAGTGGTACTTAAACTTCAGTTGAGCCCCTGGGTGCCACAAACGGTTAATGTATTCAGCTGCCAAATGGTTGGAAGTTCAAGTCCACCAAGTAGCACCTTGAAAGAAAGGTCTGGTAATCTACTTCTGGAAAAAAAAAAAAAAAAATCAGCCATTGCAAACCCCATGGAGCACAGTTCTATCCTGATACATGTAGGATTGCCAAGAGTTGGAGTCAACTTGTAGCAACCGGTTTTAAACTTTTGTTGGGAAGAATCCATAAAACCACAGGAATGTATCCCAACCATATGGAATCAAGTGTCAAAGCAAGTGATATAAGTAGAGATCCAAGACAGAGGATATTCATAGCAAGCCCAGAGGGGTAGAAAATTTCATGGAAGAAGAAAACAAGTTGAAGCTGAAAGGACAGGATCAGAAATGACGAAAGTATGTCTTTGTGAGACTTGGCTGCATAGAAAATTTTCCAAGTTCCATGGGTGTCTCTTATGGAAATTTTGGAAAATATCTGGAAAGAAAACTCAATGGGCTTTCTTTATAAATATTTTATTGTTTCCAAAAATATATTTATATTTTCCAAAATATTTTCCAAGTATTTCTTTCCAAAATTTTTTTTCCACAATATCAAATCGCATTACATTTAAGCCTAACAACATTATACCTGGAATCTTTAGTCTCAGGAATAGGATTTCAGTCAACATTTGGCCAGTGTGTCCAGCTTACAGATACCCAGACACAGTACAAAGACATGAAAAGTTAGAAAAAAATTATCTACCTTTGAAATTAGAGGCTTTTAATTGAAAATATTTTACCATAACCCTTGGCTCAAGGGCAGTGGTCCTAGGAACATTCATATAAACATTTTACTGGCTAAAAATCCCACATCTAAAATGATTTCTAATATTCATTTCCAAGTAATTGAGCTTCTATTTCTCTTACATGTTATAGGAAGAAGCACTTAAGCCCAAAAAGCTGTTTTTTATTTTTCAGTATCATGTGGCAGAATGTATTGCCTTTGTAGACACAAATATCCACCCCTTCTCTTTTAGCTCTTTCTTGACATGAATAGCAAATATAACTTATTCATGTTTTCAGCCAATTAGTTTCAACTCACAGCAAGGGCCTCTGCTGCTTTAACCCAGTGTCATTCCTTTCAACAGCCTGACTCTAAAATCTGCTGATCTAGACAAGCCCAAGCAACCTATACTTAGTATTCTGGTCATTTTCTGATTAAGCAACATTCAAGCTACTGAAATAAATGTATATCTTTGAAAATGAGTTTCCTTAATTACCTCATTGAAATTTAATGAAATATCTCAATTTGTAAGATGATTTTCACTTTCCACCAGTGCACATCAGTGATCTATGCTAAGGGAGAACACACAAAATAGCACAAGACAAAGAGAAGAATGTTCTTCTGCCCCATAAAAGAAAAGCACCTATAAACGGAAAAGACTTTCTAAAAATCTTTTTCTTGTGCAGTCTCTCTTGAGGTGCACAATCACTTCTCTTGTGTACCTTCTTCCACAATTTTTATAACTTCTCATC